GACAGAGTCATGCAGTGAAGAAGAAGAATGACCGACAACCAGTGGTCCAGATTGATTCCTCCTTTAAGTCGACTGAGAATGACCTTCCGAAGTGCACTGTCTTGAATGCCACAGATGTCCAGACTGGATATTTATTCAATGGCTGTGGTACTGCCTTCGAAAGGAGGTGTCGAGGAATACAAAAGGAATACGGAGTTGCGGAATTGAGGAAATTTGTGTTCGAGATTGGCCGTACGTTTGGGATTGTCTAATATGGCAAAGAGGCACCGCTGAAAACAATGGCGCGTGCTCTCTGCAAGATCATTGGAGGACTGTCCATGAGAGCTGCACCGACTGGCCACTCCCAAAGTCAGGGAAGTGTTGGAAATGCCCAGCGGGCTCTATCATATGGCCAACTGAGGACAGACACTGCTGTCTCAATTGGAGGAATCGACTGGTGTAAAGGTGAGCTCGAAATCGCCACTGTTCACCTGGAGTGTGAAATATGCTCAATGGCTTATCAACCGATACATGATTGGAGCTGACGGCAAGACTGTCTATAGCCGTCGGTGGGGGTCGTGAATACAATGGCGCATTGTGCATGCTTGGCGAATTGATTGACGCAAAGGTACCTGTGAATGGGAAAAGTGCGTGTTCCGAAAGCTGGATCTCAATGGTGCACTGGAAAGGACACTGAGGCCGATGAGGTTGTTCTTGGGAATGCCAATGGAGTCTTCAAGGTCAGGACTGTGAAGAGAAGATCCCCTTCTCAACAATGGAGTGCATCGTATGTCATAAAAATGATCTCCACTCCTTGGCAGCCGCGTGGAGATGGAGTTGAATCGACTGCGTTTGTAAGGCCACCAGGTCTTGGAGTGAAGGGCAGAGTGAAGCCTCCTCCTGGACTGGAGCGTGTTGAGGAAGAAGCCGAAGGGAATGTTGAACTTGAAAACATGGTGCCTGGTCAGAGTGAAAGTGTCACTGAGCAGGATCTGATGCTTCAAGATGACATTAATGACAGATCTGCTGCTGAAACGGATCATGACGCACCTGAGGCGACTGGAGAACCGCTCAGAAAGAGTGACTGAGCCGTCGACGAAGCAAATGAGGATTTCTGATGTGCATCACATGATTGCCGGAGTGATTGCAAATGGCTTGTGTCGATTGTTGGAGTTGACGAAGTTGTTGGCAAGGCTGGAATGAAGATTGATGTAGAGGTGAATGCCGAGGCAGGCGAACTCGATCAAGAAATGCGCCTCTCCGAACCACTGCTTTGGTAGAGTGAGTTTCCGCCTGAGGCTGAAAAGACTGATGAAGGAGATAAATTCAATGAAGAATTTCGATGTATATGATGAAGTGAAGGTTGAGGACTGCACACAAGACCAGATTGATGGTGCCCTTGACCGTCGATGGGTCAAGGTTTGGAAGAGTGAAGACGAATTGAGGTGCAGAGTGGTTATGAGAGGTTGTTTTCAGAATGTTGAAAAGGGTGACGAAGAAGACAACTTGTTTTCTTCCACGCCTTCACTGGTCACAATGAGACTGCTTCAAGGTATGGCACTGGCAAGGACTTGGGGCATCACAACGGGTGATGTCAGCACTGCTTTCTTGCGTGCCTTGATGAATGAGGAAGTGTTCGTATGGCCACCTAAGGAATTCTACCCTGACGGGAAATGTCTATGGCGATTGAAGAAGGCAATGTATGGCCTTCGGCAGGCGCCAAGACTGTGGCAGGAACATTTCGCTGATGTAATGACGACGAAACTGGGATTTCGGAGATGCAAGAGTGACCCGAATCTCTACTGTCAGGAATCTGGTCGATTGTATGTGCTTGCATATGTTGCTGATTTGTTGGTCGTAGGGACTGATGAAATGAGGAAATCTTTCATGTCTCAACTGTCGGAGGAAGTGTTGCTGAAGGAGACTGGCCAATTGGTGCCAGGAAGTGAGCACACTTTCCTGGGACGACGGCTGCGACATCATGGTGACTCGATTGATGTTTGCATGTCACAGAAATACATTGATGCGATTCTTGGTTTGTATGGAATGAAAGACGCCAAACCTGTGGCAACGACTGGAACTGCTACCATCGTCAAGACTGTTCCGAGCACAAAGTGTACAGGACTGCGGTTGGCAAACTGCTGTGGTTAGCACTGGTTCGCGCCGAGCTGATATTGCATATGCGACGAAAGAGTTGAGTCGGGATGTGACTGCACCGACAACGCAGAGTGTCGCCAAATGCAAAAACGTGTTGCGCTACTTGATTGGTACGAAAATGTGTGTGCTGAGAACATCGTATCAACTCGCGAAAGGAGCTGCGCCGTGGACATCAATGTCTATGTGGATTCTGATTGGGCTGGTTGCTCCCGCACGCGGAAGAGCACTAGCGGTTCCACTGTGAATGTCCTTGGTTGCAATGTGGTCAGTCTGCCAGGACGCAAGGAACACTGGCACTGTCCTCTGGTGAAGCGGAGTTGTATGCGATTGGTCTCTGAAGCACTGTTTGTCCGATCAATGCTGTTGGAATCAAAGCTAGCGAAGAAGGTGAGTGTGATTGCTCACACCGACAGCACTGCGGGCAAGTCAATGGCACTGGAAAGAAGACAAAACACGTGGAACTGAGGTTCCTGTGCGTCCAGAATTTGGTGCAAATGTGCGTACGGAGGATGGCTAAGACTGATGGCACGCGAAATCCCGCGGATCTAATGCCCAAATATGTTGCAACTGATGTGTTGCAGCGACTGAAGGCACACATTGGTGTTGTGTCGAATTGGTTCAAGGATCTCACCACTGGTGCTCATGACACTGATGGTCATGTTGCTCCGATGGTGAATGCTCAATGGCCGCCTGGCCCGCGCACCCCTCCCGTGCCCGCCCTCGCGCGCGTCCCGAATGTACCCACTGTGCGCAATGCGTCTCTGGACGCCGTTGGACTGAAGTCCACGCCGAGGGTCTGTGTCAATGAGTTGCGATGAATGCATTGCATGTTTGACTGCACATGTCACACTGCTGTTCTGTCTAGTGTAAAGTGAACGCAGCAGCTGCTTGTCATGACTGCATGTGCAATGTTCACTTGTCTTGTCATGTCGGCATGTGCGAATGTTTCAGTGTTGCCCGAAAACCCCAAAACCAAAGAAAGAGAGAGTTGAGAGAATAAGAGGATTTTCCGACATGTTTTCTCCGATTGTTTTCTTTTCGGTCCTGAAGGGACTGTGCGGAAACTTGGCCGATTTGCCGAAATGTCGCCGATTTGCCGATTGCCGAAACGGCCGATTGTTTCCGATTGTTTTCCGTGTGATTGCGAGTGAGTTTGCTTGTGTACAGAGTGCAATGCAAGGAACTGCCTTAAGTCCATGCGTTGCTGACTTAGATCAATGTGATTCCCCCGAAATGTTTTTTGCTGAATGTTCCTTAGTGACATCGATGGCCCCCAAGAATTTTGCCTTTGAGCGACTGAGAATGGAGCCACTGCCGGAATGGCCCTGAGAGGAGCTCGGAGTGTTGCCCGGACCTGATGCAGCACCAGTGCTCCCGCACCGAGTGAGCCGAATGCTGCAGCGAATGCGGTGCCTTGGGAGGCCCGCCACCTGATGAATGAGACAATGGTGCAGCACCGACTGAGCAGGCATGGTCCTGTGACTGTGGAAGTGTGCGAATGCACTCCATCAACATCCACCCTGAGGTCAATGGCCCAAACAATTGGATGATTGAGACGAGCTGGACTCAAATGACGAAAGCTGAGCGACTGTTCCTTACAAAAGGAAACTGGCATGTGGAATGGCACAACCCTCGCTATGCCAAGGAAAATGCCACCGATGCTTTGGTGAATGTCTATGACTGGCTTTGCCTCCCACGGTCTTTGGCAATGGGATTGTATACCAATGCTGTGCCGGATTTGGCAAAGCTTCCCTGCGACCAGCTGAACGGCAGCTTCAATGCCCTCAGCGCATTGAGGAATACTGTCTAATGGGCAAACCAAGGCGTCTTCGAGGGAATGAGTGAGAATGAAGAGCCGATTGCTTTCGTGGTGTTTCGCCGCACCAAATGTGCAGCCATGAGGCGATGGGTCGCTGGAGGACCCAGTGGCAATGCTGCAATGAGGTTGGCGAATTAATGTAATCGCCAATTCACTGACCACATCAGCACCTTCGAGTGGAATGGAAATGGCCACAATGACTGGGAATGGACAATGGAAGCACTGCCACAGGCGAGTGCTGGAATTGTCCGCGTTCCAATGACGGATCCAATGTGCGCGCGCAGCCCCAAGCTGCTACTGTCACTGGATGAGATCATCGAATGGGGAAAGCTCGCCACTACTCGAGGCGACTCCCTTGTGGAATGGAGATTGATGGGACATACAATGATCCCACCGGCTCCGAGATTGTCCTCCGCAAGAATGTGAAGGGCACTGTGAAGTGAAGGCACTGAGCAGCCGATTTTATTTAGGAGTGCCTTGTGACTGCGATTGTTTTGCAAATGTGAAGTTCTTCGTGAAATGTTGCATGGATTTCTTCCGCGGATTGCAAAGAATTAAGAATGGAGTTCTTGGATTCAGCTGAATGTAGCATGAGCCTACCTTCAGACTCCAAACCCCAATAAAAAGAGGGTTGCTTGGGAAAACCAGGTTTTGCGGGTAAAACCCTGGTTCTTGATTTTGGGGCTTTTTGCAGGCTCAAGATATCTTTAGTCGAAGATGTTGTGGGTGCAAGATGTTGCAACATAACTCCGTCTTGATGGCGATTAGCGAGCATTATGGTGGGATTATACGTGAGGATGGGATAGATTATTTAGGGAATCGATCCCGATTATGTTCCCAATAAGCTTTCCGGCCTTTTGCTGGACGACGTGTGCCGCGACTTCATGGGCTGCAAACGCCCGGGGCTGAGACTGCAGCTTCAAGGACTTGCGAAACACACACTAGTTTCTTTTATCTACAATGCTGCGACAATGCTCTTGATAGACGAACTTCGGCCTTGGCTGCTGTTCCGGATCAGCTTTTTAGCCATCCAAGCGCAGTCATTCTAGCATGTGAAGATTCCAATGTCCTTTGCAGCACTCGCAGTATGACGGATCTCGTGTGGACTCTTCTCGAGAGCCTTGACGGTCTGCCTATATAGTCTTCTTCTAGTTGGCAGCAATAGATCATGTTGTTGAGGACGTAGTTTGATAGAGCAGCCTGGTCCACCAACTGGAAGAACAGATGATGGAGCCTGTGTAGATTCGGCATGTACTGGAAGAAAGGAAGCTTTTGACGAAAGGCTGCTTGAGCGCACCGTCCATTCAATTGAAGAAAACGCATGCCCCGACGTCCCAAAGCTTTGGCGGTATCTGCCTCAATCCAAATCTTCTGCCTGTAGATGCCTGAGAAGAACATATCGATCTCCCAAGCAGCCTCCCAGCACATGTAAAGAAGAGATCCGCTCATGATGCTGCCTCGTCGCTGCGAACAGCAGAAAAGGAACCAGCGCAAAAGACACAACGTAGTGGAGCCCTTGTGCCACCCTCCAAGAGGGGCCTCAGTGGCATGAGGCCAGCCGATGGTATGCCTGGTAAACTTGCGGATATACGGATACTGCTTGTATGTAGCACACCACCCGAATAGATCGGTTTCCATGGCTTTGAAGCGTGCTGGAAAGCTCGTACCCGGGAACAAACCTGAAAGGAGGGCGAGCGCTGAAGAAACGAAAATTTTCCCGGCTCCTAGATGAAACCCGCGGAAGTAGTCTTGGCCTGCAAAACCAGATGGGTCTGCGGGATCGTGGGGAAGCTCCATGAGGATCGGCTTGGTAATGTACGGATCGTCGCGGTTGAGGGTTTGCCTCCATCTCGGCTCGGCGCTTTCGAAATCCTCAAACGGGTATCCGGGCTTGTCCGCCCAACAAGCATGACAGATTCCTGTCGGCGCCTTCTTGGCCGTGGCCTTCTTGGCCGAATTTCCAAACGTCCGGGTCCATTCGAATGACTTGGCCAGAAATGGCCAGTCTCCAATGATGTTGAGTATGCAAAAGTAGTGGGTGTGGCCAGTCAACGGATCCACAAGACCTGTTTCAAAAAGCTCTTTCATGTCGTCGACCAAATGCTTCAGAAGCAGCTGGTAGTTGTCCGATCGCTGGTCGTCGTACATTGCCCGTGGGAGCACACTAAGAAGCCATCGAGTTGCAGCAGTGTGTCCCGTCCAGTTCAGTTCTTGCTTGTCGTAGGGCTCAGTATCATGAAGATGCGAGTGAACACCGCTGCCCAACCCCAAAATCGAGTGGGCCGAGATCACAAGCAATGGGTTCTTCTTCTTGGACCGGCCCTCGTCCCCGTGAACGAGGCGGTACTTGTCCCAGAAGCTGCCCCAAATAAAGCAACATCGGTCAGGATCTGGATGTTGTAGTCCACACATCGTGTGCCAGAGATTCCGATCCAAAAAAAACGGCCCCATGCAGATAGCTTTATCACATCAACTTCTTCATCCAACATAACAGAGCTGATTTGCACTGGCAGCATGAGCCCAGTTCGCCGGGCCATTCTATGAAAATCTCGCTCAGCGTTGTGCTCACTGCAACGAGCAGCATGCCCTAAGGAAGAGGAAGCTGCCACTGGCACTTCTTCAACAGTCGCCCGAGCTGACCGCACCACCCATTTGCAAGCAGCCTTGGCGAGCGGGCGGGTGAAGGGAGGGGAAAACATGCATCTCAACAGCTGGGTCAGTTTGCGAACAAGCACCACTCGCATGATGCACAGCACAGCAGCCCGTTTTCACATTCCCCCAAATGTCGCCAGTGGTGACACGGCCCCTGCACACGTGTTCGTGTGAACTCAACAAAGTCACAACAGGTCACGTCGGTTTGAACTTAAACGACCTGTACACTACGTAAGTCATGTACACGGAAGCTGAGGTCGTCGTGCTCATCTTGACATTGTCGCCGCCGGATCTGGTGTTCTTGCATCCAGGCACATCTCAGCAGCGATTGCATCACATATATCACAACATGTGCCAATGCTAGGAAGCCTTTTTGCAGTCTGAGTTGCCTTTGTATTTGTCGATGAGGGCTGCCTCGAGCATGGATGGTGTGCCAGCTTCTTCGGACAAGTGCAGGATGCACATATGCTCCCACTTATGACCTTTATCCCTTCTGTATCCATAAACCGAGTTTTCCCATCGCCAGCAAGCGTCGTGGGTGAACCCCACCTTGAAGATCATGGGTGCATGACGATGTAGAAGAACAGTGATGACATGAGATGCATGAGCCAAGACCCCACCTGCTGTCGTCACCTGTGCTGGCAAATGCCAATGTATGTTCTCATGCTCAGAAACACGTTCAAGGTCCCCCTTCAAGTCCACATCCGAAAGAACCCTCTTGGACACATGCTGCTGCCAGGATGTGCTCCGCTTCAATCGACGAGTCATTGCAGGCTGGGACACAAGGGCTTTGGAGCTGGTAACTGGCGGGGTTGATAGCGATGCCGGCACTTTTGGTGCTGACCACGGGAAGGGCCCTTCTTCAGCCTCAAAGAGTCAGGTCGTCACGTTAGGTTTGCGCACACCCGGCCCTGACAAGACACAAAAACAGTGTATCATGTGCAAGCCGGGCACAGATCTGTGGCATGTCAGCAGATCACGGAGCTCAGATTCAGGGCTCTCCATTGCGGCGACAAGCGAAAAAGACACATATACATATACAGATGTGTATATGTAAAAATGTGAATACATACATACATACGTACATACATACATAATTACATACATACATACATACATACTTACATACATACGTACATACATACATACCTACCTACATACATACATACCTACATGTATTGTGTGTATTTGTAGCCGCCACCATACACCTGCGACCTAACCTCGAGCGAGCACTTGTGCTGAGGAGCACTGGGATAACATATGCATGGAGCAGCCGCGATGGAGTCATTGAAAATGCGGGCCCTCGCTCAAAGGCCCGGGCACCTTCACCGATCTGTTGCGAGAACTCCCGAATGGCTGGCCCGGTACCTGGCAGGGCGAGCAATTATGATCGAGGTATTAAGATAATTGAGGGATGGGTTTTGCGAGCTTTGGAACGGATCTCACAAAGAAGGAAGTCGGCTTGTTTTTCAAGCTGTAGCAAAGCTTGCATGGATCACAGAACCTCGCTGACCCCCAGGGTTCTCTAAGATCTATAGTGCCACCTGCGTTTGGGTAGCGAACTTAAGAACGTCTTCGAGAACATGTTCGCGCTGTGCTCGCATGATGCGTTCTAAGTTAGCATCAAGGATCGAAGCCATCACGTCCTAAGTGGCCACAGCAGGTTTGCAAGTTCTTTAGGGAACTTTAGGGGGGCTTGAGACCAATTAAATGTGGGCACAGCACGAACTGGCTCGGAAAAGACACATGTGTGGCCATGTCCACACCACGATCCGGATCATCCAGCTTTCGCATGTCTCTAGTGACTCTATAGTCTCTATAGTGAACATACTGCAGCTTAAGCAAAGCGCTGGTACAACTGTAGTGCGAGCCCACTTACTTCTTGGCAGCAGCCTTGGCCGAGCCTTTTGGCTTGGCCTTGGGTGCCCTGGCACGATCACTCTCACCTCCTGCTTGCTGCGGTTTGCCCGAGCTCTTCTGGTAGAACTTCTTGGCATTCCTTGGTTTGGCGAGCTGTGGGATCCCTTGCATCCAAGCAAGCACTCGAAGTCTTTCACGAATTGAAGCCCAGCCACCGCACCTGGAGCTCAGAGGCCGTGGCACGGCTCGACCTGGGAAGGCGGTCTGTTTCTCAGAATTGGGGACAATAAAGGTAGCTAGAAGCCTCAGATGCGAGCACGTAAGTTGCAGCCCGGATGTTCTTGTCCATGTTCGCCCACCACCTATAGACAAGCAGCCAATGATCGAATTGCTGGGGCCGTAGTGACTTAAATCAAGGGCGAGTCAAAAGGCAACTGAATAGAGCTAATGACAGCCCGAGCAGCAGGCGGCAACAGCAACCACGACAAGAGCAACGAGCAGCAACACTCAGCAGCAGCAATAACAGCAGCAACAACAACAACAACAACAACGGCAACACCAACACGAGCACTACTAGCAGCATCAGCCCCACAAGCTGCAGCAGTTCCACCAGCAACACCGCCACAACGACAACGAGCATCGTCACTCGATTGGTCGTCAATCGCCAGTATTATCATCAACAGGAACAGCAGCATCTTCAGTCACATCATCCGAGCCCGTTGATAAAATAAAAGTGAAAGCAATTTCGACATCACCAGTAGATTCAGAATATCGGTTGCTCGGTCGAACAGCTAATACAGTTCATGATCTAACCTATATAATGTAACTACCAACATATGCAGAATGCCTATATAGCAGCTATAGGGGGTGTTACTCTTTTCCGTGAGTACTACTCAACGACAGTAATTAATTGTAAAGACCTTAAGTTAAAAAGTTAGCACAACGGGAAAAGCCACGGCGAGAAGGATGGGCTGCGGCTGGAGTTTTCAAAGCAAAGGCACACTTTAAAGCACTTGTTTCAATCTTCTCGGAATCAGAACACCACAGTGCTCAACTAATCCTAGAACAGAAGCTACAAAGAGTTTGTGTGTTTATTCAATGAACATGGAGGAGTTGAGCCCCGGACGTTGTGTTGAAGCCGTCAGCCTCGCCTTTGGCCATCTGATCGGTCAGTTTCCCATGCTCCGCCTCAAGCTTCAAGACATGTTCCTCCAATCCATCCACCGACCTCAGCCACTTGTGAGCAGCAAGCTAAACAGATAAAGACTGAATCAGAATCTAACGTAGGCAACTGGGTACGGGCAGGCAAGATACTTCTGGCAATCCTGTGAATAGTTCGCCCGGAGGTCCTTGACCAGCGATCTGATCTTCGTGCACTTCGAAAGGAGCGACTCCATAAAGCGCTCAGCTGTCGCTTTTTGCTGGCCAGGGATTGCATGTAGCTTTAGCAAGTGTGATTACAGGTGCACACACATGATGAATGTTTCAGACACACGGATATCACTCATGCAGGCCTTTGCGCTAAAGACTGCGTGATTTGTTGGCAGCCTCCAGGACCGAGTGGCCAACAGGCTCCGATGGCTGGCTTCCGCGAGCCGCGGCCTTCTCCAGGTCTGCAAACTCGTCAGGCTTGAACTCCAAAGGTTTCGCAGCCTTAATGGGTATCGCACATTGAAAGGTTTCGGACACACTACAGGACGTAACAGGAATTGTGCCAAGGTCACCTTTCCAGATTGCCGCTGCTCTTCGGTAATTTCATGCGTCTGACTGTGCACTGCCGTCTCTCGAACAGTAACATAGTATTCCCACTGGCCGTCATATTGATTCCGCCTCCGAGCTACGATCAGACATGCCACGTGAGTCTTTGCTGCGTGTCATGGCGCGCAGAAGACATGCAGTGTGCACCGGTGCAAGGCTGGGTCAGCTTCACAGATTTTCTTGGCTCCTGCGATCCGGGCCCTTGGCAGGCAGGGGCAGCTAGCAGAGTGTACCACAGAAAGAGAGTGGACCGTTCTCACACACACACACACACATACATGTGAGACCCCGGCGCAGACCATCCAAGGTCCGCCTTCATTTCTGGTTCTGTGTACCAACCCTGATCCTTCTTACGACGAATTTCTTAATCTTCTTCACGATGAGGAGGAGCTCGGACAGGAATTTCTCCTCCACCACAGAGTATGTTATGTAGGAAACCAAGCACACAACATAGGTCTTTACAACTCCCGATCCCCGATCCTTGTCTCCGTTGTGCTCGAGGAGCAACTCCTCCATTTCCGATTTCGCTTTCGTGCCACGGTGCCACTGTTCGCGAACATAGTCCGGAACGGAAAGATCGGTTCGTTTCTTTTTCGGAGCGATCATTCGCAGGATGCGTGCACGTGCTGCTTCTCGAAGCAGCTCCTTTGCAGAGACTGCATGGGGCATTCGATGATTTCTGCGAAAACACACAAAACTAGCTGCACTGAGACTACATTGGAAGCAAGGAGCTCTTCGGGTTTTTTCTTTCTTCGCTTTCTTGGCAGGCGGCTCCGAGATCGCTTCTGCTTGCTGTGCGCTGTCCTGAGCCGTGGCGTCGACTTGTATTTTGGGGTCGGGGTGCATGCCTAACATAACTCAGGACAAGCAATATATTTCATAAACCCTCAGACCACGAAGCCTCGCTCGGTGCCTGCACTTCAGCCTGAACTTCAGCAGGCTGCACAGCAGCAGGGGGAGCTGGAAAATTTATAGTGCTCAGGTTCTCCCTCAACTCATCAGCCTGGGAAAAGCAGGAAGCAGAGCAGATGTCGAGCAGCTGAAATTAACATTAGACCGCGTACATGAAAACATAAGCCCGGCAGCTGTCGCAGGGATTGTCGGCGCCTCCTCGACGGCCTCAGGGCACAAAGTCTTCTAGCATCCTAAGTGTATGATGTACATAGTCACATGTATAAACACTTGCATACATACACATCTACACACATGCACAAATACACATACGAACACACATAGACACTCGATCATACATACATATCTACATGCAGACAGACACAACAACAGAAAGCCCAGCCAAGATGCACATGCAAACATGCATACAGTATTTATAGTGCTTGCACACATACATCATGCATGGCTACATGTGTACATCCTTGCACTCATGCATGCGTGCATGAGTAGTAGACACATGTGAGCACACAGACATGCAGCACATAAATAGGTGCAAACGATACAATGTGTGTATATATATATATATACAATACATATATATGTGTATACATACATGTCCACATGCCTGCATGTACCCTACACATATGACTGTATGGGCAATTATAAGTATATGCATTCACACGTAAAAAGAACAAAAGGAATGAGCAAACAAGCAAAGATACATTTACATAATGCATACCTGTGTATGTACATACATACACATAAATCTGTATGAACAAATACGGAAACAACTCGGTACACACATGTGTACAAAACGGTCACACATAAAACCGAAACATGACATGTATAAATGTATATGCATCTATGCATGCATGCGTGTACGTATGCCGGTGTGTAGGTATGTAGGTATATAGATATGTAGCTATGCATGTCTGTGTGTATGTATGTATCTTAGTGTGTATGTCTATACTTGTGTGACACCACTCTTCACCTCTTAAAGTTAATCTCGAGCACAGGCCCAATGGCGGCGCCTGCTCGGGAACAGGGGCCAACGTCGAGGAGGCCAGCATCGGCATTAATGCGAGGCGTTCCATCTCCTAGGGAAGGGGTTTTCTATATGTAGATAAGTGGTTCTGTGGGAACTTAGACAGAACAATCATGGGAACACTTTCCTTCTAGATGGGGAAGCTTAATTTTGTTTCTGGCAAGAGACCTCTATCTGCTTCTTCAGCATCTCCTCTTGGAGGGCTAAATCGGCATCGGAGTCTCCCATAACAGCCTGATACCCTGCTTGCAGTGATGCACAGCTCCACTGCTTGGACATGGCGGGGTCCCAACTACGAAGAGCCTCTGGGTCCCCTGAGCACAAAAAGCCTTTGTAATGCCTCGTGAATATAGCAAGCCTGCAGCGACTGTGTCAAAGCACGTATATGTTGGCTGGACCGAGCAAGCACAGCCACACCTCTAGGCAACTTTTGGGTTTCGCGGCCGCACGATTCTGGGTCTCCAGGCTTCGGGGGGCTACCGAAGGCGTCCCGACTTGTAAAAAGTCTCGCTAGACCCAGTGAAACCTTGCTAAGTTCTATGATATAGCGCAAGCCCAGAACCCATCTTTGTTGTACGGGTAAAGATGGGTTTTAGTACGGGTAAAGATGGGTTTTAGGATGGGTTGGGGAAAACCGGGTTTTGGCTCAGAACCTGGTTTCTGGTAAGGCTTTATGGGTTTTAGTACGGTTAAAGATGGGTTCCAGTATGGGTAGAACCTGGTTCTTCTATAAAACCCCCAAGAATTGCGCTCCTAGTTCTGTATAAACATACTTAAAATCGCTTAAAAGTAGTATAGCAGCAGCAAAGCGCAATTCGGACGATTGCTGCCCACGAGCCACCAGGAAAGGTCCCGCAAACCCCTCGGCCCAGCCTTTGCCTCGTAGGTATATAGGAACCGAGCACGACCCCGCATGACCCTGGAAGCTTGCCTTTGTCCACCCCGACAGTCTCCTGGATCCCGAAAGCCACCGAGTGACCCAAGAAGAATCGACCCCAAGGCCCAGTGAGAGTATGATCCGAGAGCAATATCCCCATCCAAACAAAGGCCCCGCTCCGAATCACGTGTAGATACAGGTTTCGGGTTTCCATCGTCTCTCTATTCGTGTATGTAGAAAATATGTAGAGATAGATAGATAGATAGATAGATATCAATTATGCCTCTATATCTACCTATCCATCTATCTACCGAACTATCCAACCACCTGATATGTCTGTACACACATATCTATATACATATATATATATATATAACATGTGTAGGTATATATGTATAGATGTAGGTTTATATATCTAGATGTATATGTATACTTCTAAGTTTATGTATATAAATGATCGACTATTCATATCAACACATACACAAGCATACACACACATACAAATACACAGACAGAGAGAGTTATCTCAATATTGGTATATATATATATATACACACACCTAGAGCTATGAGACGGAACGGCCGAACCCACAGGTTTCTGAAACAAGGTATGACCAGGAAACCACCTAATCATTCGATCGATCCTCTGTTCAGAACATTGAACACCCGCGGGAAGCAATCTGTCTCCGGTATAGTTGCCCTTCTGACAAACATTTGGATGGCCACTGTACACAGAGGAACCTCTCTCTCTCACTCACCACGTACCGGGAAATGACATCGCCATTCTAGTGGGATGTGCAGGTAGTTGCAACCCCGTAAATAATCGTAGACATCTCCAAGCTGCGCAGTCTTGTACATGAGGCTGACATCCACGGGTGTGCTGGCGGAGGCGTACAGCTCGAGGCCAGATGGATCCGGGTTTGGCAGACTTGGGCAGCCTTTGCAAGTAGACTTCAAGTCTTGGAAGATGCCGGCCACAGCTTCTGCGAACTGTAGAGGATATATCCTTGGTTTGATGTCGGGGCTTGATCTTGTTTTGCTGGGGAGCAGAATACTTACTTAGCTTTCCCAGGGCATGTGTTATATACCTTCTGAATTAGTCCCAGTAGTACCCTCCAACATCTCAATTGAAAAGTTCAATTGAGATGCACCGAAGCAAGCCCCCCAAACCTGGAAACCAAGAACCCTAGCAGTAGCAGCAGAAACTTATAGGTATAGTTATAGCAAAGGATCTCGGAGGCCTTCAAGTGCTTGGATGCAGTGTACCGTTCGGTTCCATCAGCCCCCATGGACCTGATTGTTGTGGCCACCTTTTTCTTGATTGCCTTCCGGGCTGTGGCCTTCAGGGCACCTTTGTCCAACCTCCGCACAGCTGCAGAGTTCGAGTAGGCATATTGCCTTTTTGCCGATCGGGCATTGTAATGCCCCATCCACCAGCCAACACGGCAAACCTCAGTGGGATCAGTTTTGGGTTGGGTTGGTGATCTTACTGTAATTGCATTTACCGAAGCAGTGCCTGCATGGTCCTAGGGTAGATCGATTTCATGCACGACTGAGGCCCCCTCCGTATCTACCCCAGATATCAGTACCATGGAGGACAAAGCGTGTCGGAAGGCCGGATAAAACTCAAGCACTGAACTCCGTGGCTGCTCCAAAACGAAGCAGCCCCCCAGAGCGACTGCCAGAAGCATGAGGCACGAGCACCTGGATAGGGTTTCGAGGCTCAGTGTTCGATTTATATAGTATTTACAAGCACGAGAGCTCAACCCCTTTCCCTTTCGACCATCTGGTTGGAATCAAAGACGGAAGGCTGGTTGCTGTTGCCGAGAGAATCCGCGGCTGATCTCTTGGAGGTGCCCTTGTTTATGCTCGTCCAACTACCACATTTGGTAGCCAGCCAAATAACAAAGTCATTGGGCTTGCACTTCAAGATGGCAACGATGGCTAACCTTAGCTACTTGCTGCTCTCACGTTGGAGAACATGCACACCTATTTCTGTTTGCGCATCTCCATGTCTGACTTTCTCAATCTCCCTCTCTCCCTCTGCCCTGCTCTCTTTCTCTCGCCTTCTCCCTGTCGTTATGGTCGGGCCCATAGCCAAAATTTATTTGGGGGCCTTCGGGAGCCGGGTATAGCTTATACATGACTTGGTTTAGCGATTTGTTTTGTTTTGGTTAGGGCGGTGCTTGTAAGTTGCTATTGGGTTCCTGGAGTTGATAACCGGGTGCCTTTGGGTCATGATGCCTCGAACGAGTTAGGTGTCTTGGGACCACAGTTGAGGTTGCTATGTGGCGGGCACTGATTCACTGGGCCGGGGCTCGCGGTTTACGTGCAATATAGGGTCTGGAGAGAAAGTGAGAGGGATTGAGGGACAGAGGAAGAGAGAGAGCGAGAGAGAGAGAGAGAGAGAGAGAGAGAGAGAGAGAGAGAGAGAGAGAGAGAGAGAGAGAGAGAGAGAGAGAGAGAGAGAGAGAGAGAGAGAGAGAGAGAGAGAGAGAGAGAGAGAGAGAGAGAGAGAGAGAAACAGATAGATGGAGAGGGAGAGGGAGAGGGAGAGGGAGAGGGATTGGGAGAGGGAGAGGGAGAGGAAGAGAGGGAGAGAGTGAGAGAGAAAGAGAGAGTGAGCGACAGAGAGACAGAGAGAGAGAAGTATGTCATAGTTCCAGGAAGGCTTGATGTATCTTGCTGCCCAAAGACGCAAAACCTGCCGATGTGTTAATGTCGTAGTAGTTGGTTCCTCTGCTGCCTTGTTCGAAGTACTGCCTGTCAAGCTTTGCACCTCGATGCCCTCGTAGTCTCACCATCGAAGTGCATCTAGCAGAACCCGCGAAGAACTCCACCCACTCGAAGACCTTCAAAGATGAAACTGTTGCTTCAACACAGTACGACACTGCTGCCCCGACAGTTCTATAGAACCCCAGCAGAATCAAGAGGAACTCGATCGAGCCTGCGCCAGGTTGAAGAGCCCCTTCGTCCAAAGAACCATGAGAACCCGCGCAACAAACTCCTGAGATGCTCTTCCTCTACGGCTGCATGCTCACTCAGCCTGCGTGCATGCATCAATCTGTGTGCCAGGTACATGTGGCACAAGCTTCTTTCGGAGCTCTCAAGGCCAGAAGCTTGAATATGAGTTCATCAGCAGCTACCATGGTTCGGTAGAGCCCGAAAGACCTTCACAGCTATCTTATGTAGCACTGTGGGCCAGCAGCTGCATGTCATGGTCTGCGAGCTATGGACAACTGCACGAAGTCACATCCACACAATTCAGATCTGGCAGCAAACAGCACAGCTGAAAGCGAGTGTTGGCACATCAATCTGGGCAGGCTGGCTCCGCCTCTTCCAGATGCGCTTTCTCGCCCGGCGAGCGTGCGAGATCTTCAGCCGAGGCATGCGTGGACCTTGGCCGATGTCGCTCAGAACTCTAGCTACCTTTAAGTACCAAACTTCACAGGAGCCGACTGCCTGCACATGGTTTGCAATATGATCTGCATTCAGCAAGCACCTGCCTTTTCTCAACTGCGCAGCAACAGAGCAGAACGAAGGTTAGAGGAGGCTCCCAAGCTCCTATGCAAGGTTCGCTTTGCCGGCACATACACACAGAGGCAAGCTTTCATCTAAAAGCTGCATGGCTATCTGGGGTTCATATGATGCACACCTCGGCTTCACTGGCAGTCCTACGGCCCATCCGAAACAATGTTGGAATGAAGCCATATTTTGTGTAAACCGTTCCCATTGAGGTCTAGTATGCAGACTAGAATGACATATAGAATCCCAAAACCAGGAGTCCAGTGTGCACACCGTGAACCGGAACACTTGAAATGTGGATTTGTGCTTGTTGCAAACCCAAGCTGATGACACGATCGGGTCGGTTGCTATGACCTGATCAATCAACAGACAGCCCCAACAGAACTGCTTGTGCGCAGCTCTGCCAAAACTGCAATCAGAACAGGATTGCAGGCTTAGGCATCCAGACTCTCCAAGGTCTGTCGGCCTGATGCCTTCAAAGACTGGACCTTTTCGTTGATGGCACGGAGCTCGGGGTCGGTAATGCGGTGCTCTTCGATGAACCAGCCCTCAGAGCAGGTTCTTGGAACTTATAAAAGTGAAGGGGGGATGCAAAGGGTATATATAGGATCCGAAGCAACACCAAAGATTTTGTTAACTTTCTATCATGAAACTATAAACCTAGACTCTTACGTAGATAGTGACTATATCTAGTTGGTGTGAACAGTATTATGACGGGGCCCCATTACCATGCCTTTCTACCTTTGGGTGTGCGTACGATTATGTGTCAAGGCACAAGGCTGATGGCGCAGGCAATGGCCACCAAAAGACCAGCATCGCAGTTGCCGTAGGAAAAGTAACCGACGTTCCTCTTGGAATCAGGCTTCTTGCTCTCCCCGTAGTAAAGCGACAAACCACACCCATAGCGGCTCCAATAGATGTCCAGTGCAACATACTCGAAATGTGGCATGTGCTCCCGAACCTCTCGCTTAAGAGCATCCCTGTCCTCAAGATTGTCAAAGGACTGGAAATAGGAAACCATGTAATCCACATCCGCCTGGTCCGGCTCGCCATCGGGCAAAGCTTTGCGACCCCTGGTACCTTTGCCCGGCTTGGCCTTTGCGTCGGCTTTGGGGGTGGCTTTGGCTTTGCCCTTCGCTTTCGCTTTCGCTTTGGCCTTGGGGGCCGGCTCCGATGGATCGTCCTTGGAGGCCTTTGCTTTGGCCTTTGCTTTACCTTTGGGCTTTGGCTTGGTGCAGCCGGTTTCACATGACTCCTTCTTCGAGGCTTTGGATTTGCTCTTTGGGAGGGCTTTTGCTTTGGCCTTTGCTTTCGCCTTCGGGGCCTTGCTTGCCGGGGTTTTTGCTCTGACCCGGGCGGTTGGCGCAGCACTTGCTGCATCATCCTCATCACACTCCTCCTCTTCCAGGGCCGCCCCCTCGAGAGGTGGCTCAGGTGCATCATCACCACGGTCATCCTTGCATCTCTTCATGGACTTAAGCCTCTTGAGCCCACGGGCCCGTTTCGACTTCAAGGATTTCTTTCGCTTGAGCTTCCGGGGCTTCGGATCAGGGTGCTCCACAGTGTCACCTGCCATGCCCTCAAGATCAGCCTCGCCCTGCTCCGCATGAACAGGTTCTGTGGGATCGGACTCACAAAGGCCCTGCAAAACCTGGTCCGGAATCTCTGCCTCCTGCTTATCCTTTGCCTTGAGCGATGTTCTCAGGCCCAGCTGGTCTCGCCGTCCGAAGACCTAGCAAGGCGGGGGAGGGTAGCTTCGTGGGATGCTTTGGGATCTTTATAATTGAAGCTGGCATAGGAGGGTTCGTAGCTACAGCTAGGTTTGTAGCCACAAACCGACACCAATTTAATAACTTACACTCAAGCCATTCCGTCCTTATTTCCGTTTATGCATGCAATAGATCAAAGCAAAGTCCGCTCGGCCTGCACCGGCGGTGGCAACGGCTGGGAAGCAGGTGGGGCAGTGACAGCTTCTGCTGGCGGGCACGATGCGAGGGCTTGGGGCGGAATCTCGCCGGGATGCTGGAACTTGAAGCGCTTCAGTTCAACATCATCCGTGCTTGGCATACTGGTGGGAGTCCTAGATTGCTTCACGAACTCCGGAGTAGATAGTGTGATGTCGTAGGGTTGGGCGTCAACCTCATCAACCGTGGCCCGTGTAGGCGTGACCGTCATCTCATCAGTCTCATCAGTTGGCACTTGTCCTGCATAGGTGCAAGAGAAGCCAGAAGCTATGCAGTTGTTAGCAGTGATCACCGAACTCATGCCGTGAAGTGTTTGATCAGAAAACTCGGGTTGCCTACGATCTCGATCATGTTCGGGCCTGCTTGCGCCGGCAAAGGAGCCGGAGCTGACGATGCAGCTGATGACAAGGACAACGGGGAGTCGGGGTCGAACTTCCTCCTCTTGAGCTGAATCCTCACTGCACAAGACATGCTAAGTCAATGCGACGAGAATTAAAGTCTTTCTGAAAATTCTGACACAACGACGGCTTGAATGTGTAATGCCCACAAGCAACTCGTAGAGCTGTCGCTTCATCATCTCCAGCTGAAGCTTTCGAGGATCAGTAGGACCTGTATGTAGTTCTGTATGAATGGCAAACCAACAACAAAACACGTTACATATAACAAACGCATATGTGCACTTATAAACCCTTGCTCCGGCCTGTGTGGAACACTGCTGGCTTCGCATTGCCCGGAGACGGCATGGATGCTGCTGGGGAACTCACGTGTGGTGGGGTTGCAGCAACGGGTGATGGCTCATCCCACTCGGGCTGGCTGTCTGTCGAAATCGCACGTGGACCCGGAAGACTTGGCGTGCAGGGCACGGGAGTGGTTGTCTGGGAGTCTACGACCCTGGGCAAATAGAGCTGACCAGGATTGATTGTCGGGGCTACCACAGCGCTCGGCATCGAGGGCTGACCAGGATGGGTTGGGGAAGCTACCGCCACAGCATTCGGCATCGAAGCAGCTACCACCACAGCATGTGGCATCAAGGGCTGACCAGGATTGGTTGTCGGGGCGGCGACCACAGCACTTGGCATCGAGGGATTGCTTGTCGGGGAAGCTACCACCACAGCATTCGGCATCGAGGGCTGACCGGGATTGGTTGTCGGGGCAGCTACCACCACAGCACTTGGCATCGAGAGCTGACCAGGATTGGTTGTAGGGGCTACCACAGCAGTCGGCATCGAGGGATTGCTCGTTGGGGCAGCTACCAGCACAGGATTCGGCATCGAAGGCTGACCGGGATTGGTTGTCGGGGCTTCCACGGCACTCGGCATCGAGGGATTGCTTGTCGGGGCATCTACCACAGCATTCGGGACCGAGGGCTCATCAACAGTGCTGTCGGGACCCAGCTCGGATGCCTCAGAAGGTGGCTCCGTGGCTCCACTGGCCACTGGAGTGGAAGCCTGGCCCACAGTAGATTTGCTCGCTGTACTATATAGAAAGCAACCCGCACTCAGCTAGCCATGCACTTAGTCTCCGGAGTGTACATCAAAACGGGCTTGCATGAGGCCCTCCAGCCTCGGCAGCACGATCTCGAATTCCTTGGACGTAGTCCTGCCAAAATCGCAATTCACTATAACACGTGCAGGGATGCATGACCCCAACAAAGTCAAATCGAGAAACTTGGAGACTCTATGTGTACATAGTGCATTGCCTATATATATATAGTCAAGATTTCAGATTAAGGTTTCTGATATGCACACCCTTAATTCTATTTATGTGCAAGAAAGGCCCCATTCAGTCTTGAGCAAAACGATGCACTGGTGATCTATCTGTCCTCCAGCTCCGGGTTCAGGATCAGACACATGTCTTGGAAGTCGGGATCCTCGTGCATGCAGCTGCTCATGATCGTGCAGTAATGCATGCATGTGTTGTACACGTAGGTGCATATCGAACAAAAGAATCATGCCGAAACCACGAAATCCACTATGAAGCCAAGAGTCCAAGCTAACAAGCTTTTTTTGTGTCTTCCTTTTCACGAACCCAGCCAAATGCCGGATAGCCCAAGCTTCATCATCGATTTGTGTATCCGGAACTTCCCTTGAAGCCATCATGTAAAGCGCTTTCACACACCCACGAAGCGGATCGATATCTGGCAACTTCAAGGCACATGCTGTCATCTTCACCAGAACTGGTGTCATAATATCACAGTTAGCGATCGCAAGCTTGTTAGAGGCATCCAAGTTCTGATCAGCAACTGGAACGACAACGCTGCTGCCACTGCGAATCCTTTCCCGAACAGATTGCTCAGCCTCCCAGGCCGCAGCCAACCCTTCCGCACTGAACCTATCCGGCTCCGCCATTGTGGCACCTCTACACGAAGCCTAAAGCACCACTCTAGAAAAGGCTGCAATCATGGAGCATGGCACGTTTAGTCAATCTGACGCAGGACCACAATCAGCGTGCTCGGCTGGGTTTCCGGCATCCTCGGACGATGGGGCTCTCGAAAAAGAGCTCTGCAAGCCAAGATGTGCTGAAGATTGGGGCTCGATTGCCTGTAAGATCATCTTACTGGCTACTTCGAAACCATACATATTGATTCATTTAACCTTAAAATTAGGGTTTTATTGGAAAACCAGGTTTTACTAGGAAGAACGCGGTTTTCACAACATGATGCCTGAAACCCAGGCTTCTGCATCACACCCCAACTTTTATTAGGTTCTGGCTGCTGAAGGTACTGTCTGCAATGTTCACTGTGTGCAGTGCAAACCGGCCTCCGAATGCCGTTTTCTCACGACTCGAATGTCATCCCGAGTCGAGCCACGCTGCTTTGATTGGTGACTGCTCTAATTGTTTCTTTTGATCGCTTCGCGAATGCCACCACGAATGCTCGTTTGTTTGTTTTGGAATGATCTTCGAAGGGACTGTGTTAAATGACACGAGCCCAATGTGCACCCGAATGTTCTTGATGCATTAGAGAATGCTACGATGCCGAATGGCATTGGCTCAAGACTGGACCAAGGCTTGATGTCTCAAAAGAATGTCTGCCTGAGTGTGACTGGGGAAAGTGATTGATCTTGGGTTACTCCGTAAGACTGAATTGCACTGTTGAATTTCTTACAGTCTCTTTCTTTCGCCAGGGCTATGGTGTAGGGCTTACACCCTACACCGCCCGCTCAAGCGCCCCCGACTGTTGCGGAGGAGATTTTGGGAAGGGTTGCGCACCACGGCACTTAGCGCTCTCAGTCCCTCTCTCTTTCTCTGGAGTCCCTCTCTCTCCCTCTCTCTCTCTCTCTCTCTCTCTCTCTCGCTTGTTCTTCTTATGCGGGCAGCCAGCCGCCCCTCGCCAAGGTGCGCCCTCCTGGGAACGACATCGTGCAGAGTGCCAAGGCATGAAAGAACAGATTGGAATGTTGTGTCTTTCGACAAAAGCATCAACACAACTGAAGCAACACAGGTTGCATCCTGTTGCCAATAGGCCCGGAATGTCGAGGAAGATAGAACGACACGCTCTCATTTCCCGGATGTCTACAACTGTGCTTGTTTGAAAGTTTGATCCCGTCACAATATGCACCGCTCATGTGTGGACACAGGTAGCGCTCCATCGATTTAGATAACTCTTGTCGTGTCACAGTAGAGTTTTTTCACCGATTCAGGTGGTTGCGCACGACTCGGAACCTCGAGGACCCTAGCTCTGCGGGGCCTGCGGCTTGCACGTGAGTACTCCGTCAGGCGCCCCTCAGTCGGCCTTGTCCCTGTGACGCCGTTTCGTGCTGCCCAAACTCACTGCCCTTCTGACCACTTGCTGCGAAAGGTCCCACCGGATCGGTGGCCCATCTGTTGACAGATCAGCTTCTGCCTACCTTCCATTGCCCAAAGCTCTCAAGATTTGCCCAGTCGTCCGCATGGGGGTGTTCCCGCCCACGGTCGTGCGCTGGGGTGGAGGAGCTCCACATGGCCAGGCCTCTCCGCGAAGAGGCCAGTCAAGTGAGTGAAGCCCCCCACTCCCTCACAAGGAGGCAACCCTCCAACAAGGGTGCGACATGGCTTCTCGAGCCGTCGGACCTGCTCACCCAGTGTCTCCCGACTTGGTTGTTCCAATGAGCTTCTGTGGGGTTTTGGCACAACCATCCCGATTCCTTCATGGTGTGGGTATGGGCTTGTCTAGGTCACTAGGTTGAATCAACCGTCTTGCATGCCCGCCTCGCGTATGGGTGCCCGAGACCCTTGATGTTTTCTCTCTGACTCTCTCTTGTTGACACGGAGCATGTCATGTCGGGCTCCCTTGCCGTGTTGGGGTACATCGGAGCTAACCTCAAAACATCTGCCCCTAGCACGACTCCACGACCACTCACGTCACCATGAATTCTTTCCCCGTGTGCGACGTCCATGTCATGTCAGAGCTGTTTACCGAAACAGCTTACAGGTTAACAAGGGTCGAAACAGTCCAAAGGTTCCAACACGTCATGCAATCAGAAAGACCCCTACGCGTCCACCTACACAGCACAAAGGCACCATCAGCTAACCGGTCGTCTCTTCCAAACTTGCTGTTGGTCATCTGTCAGCCTGCCTATCACTGTCTGTAAATAATATGTCCATGATTCATTGGCCAGGGAGCCAAGAAAATGGAGCTGAGGTACCTCAGCTGCCAGCGTTTCGACATCCCTGCAGCTCTATCGGCGAAACATGTACTTTAACTGGGAGCTACACTCCGTAAGCACAGCTACTCTGTACCTTAAGAAATTCTTATGGCACATGAAACTGCTGTCCGGAGCGGTCGCTCGTAAGGCTCAGAATTACGCTTACTTCATCGGGGTGCTTCCGAGAAATCAGTGCCAAGTTCCACAAAATGAGGCGCTTTCGCCGTGAAACGGATGCAGCCGAGAGGCGCGAAGCAGCGCGGACCCCCCAGCTCGCCGCCGAAGGCCTTGCAGAGATGTCTTGTGCTCCGGTTCAAAATGGAACGCACTTGGGCTCGCTTGTGCTTCATTTCATGTGTTCTCTGCGTGGTCTCTGCGTGCTGTATACCAGCAAAACGCAAACCTGCAAGTCTGAATAGGAGGCCCTGGTCAGATGTTCATGCACTGTCAAGACATCACAATCGATCCAGGGACCCCGGTGACGGGAGATTCCGGGAGATGTACACAGAGCCACAGCGCCAACAAGATCTCAGTTCTGTGGGCCTGCCGGCTGCCGGCTCAAGTTCCGTTAACTTCGGGGAAAGAATGCCTCACGCAAGCTTGGCCTCCAAAACCGAGCCGCTAGCGACATGACCCGGTGCGCCCCTGACACCAAGGACCGCACGCGCCGTCGGATGGCGAGCAAAATCACGCAGGAAATGGCGCAACAGCTAAAGACCTTGTAGCAGCGGCTGCTGAGGCAGGCGAGGCAGGTAAGCATGCCGTCCGGGGCTTTGTAACGTCATACTCTCGGCCAAAAATAGGATACGAAAACTTCTGTGCCCTGTTCGATGTGGCCCATCCTCGAACACGATCCGAGCCAGTCAGCTGTTTTGTCTCGAATCTACTTGACATGTCTAAGCAGTAGCTGGGACCCAAACATTTTTTGTACGACTTCTGAAGAACTCTGACAGACAGAGCTCCTATCCGCTCAATGGCAGACATTGCGTCCTACGGCCTAAGGGCTGTGGGTAAACGGGACGGGATGCGACATGTGCTTCACTTCTCATGGATGCGTGCATCTTTCTTGGACTTGAACCCATGTTCTTCGTCTCGTTGTCGACATACAAACTCAGAGTCGCCGTCCACCGCAACGAGGTGTCGACACGAGACTCCATCGTCACTGTGGCTAAGTCTTTCAGCCAGCCATAGGAAGGATTATCGGTAATGGCCCTGTCGAAGACATCCTTCGCATCGGTCAATGCAACAACTTTTTGTTTGCTCCTGCTCGGCTCTCCCTGAGCCCACGCCACAAATCGCGACTCATGCAGAGAGTCGAAACGGATATATTTCCAGACTCTGGGAGGTGCGACAATCTGGGGCTGCAGCCATCACGCTGAAAGCAAGGCCCCCTGCCTCAACGACGAAGGCCTCGGCTGCAATGGGTCGTGTTACCAGTTATAGGACGTTGCTCATGGCTCTCGAGGTGTGGGCTTCAGTGAAGGGCAGAGGTCTGCAAAAGCTGTAATAAAACGGACTCGAGGGGTATGGATATCTTCCCGGCTGCAGGCAAATCGTGCAAAGCCCGCCATTTTCGATCAGCAACCGTGTCTTGAAGCAGGCCCGAAGCCAACAAACATGAATGACCGCTGTACATCTCTGGGCTACCTGTACACTGTACACAAGATACCAGGACATCTCCTCGCAGGAGCCTCGGTAACAACCAAGACTTGTTCTGAGTTGCAGGACGGCCTTGGTGGTGTCTACTACACATAGAGGTACTGTCACAAACAACCGGCAGGTCTTCAGTAGACTCACTGCAAAGCAACACATTCCGATAACCTGATCCCAGGAATTCTTCACCTGAAGGTCCCATCTGCCTTCCTTTGCGAGGGAATGCCTTTCTGCAACTCAAAGACCTTCGATTCATATCCACGATTCAGGACATGAGTGCGTAGACGTCTCTTGCTGCAATGAATAGCGCTCCTGCTTCGGCCTACTTGGTTCCTATATGTCCTTTCCTGCCTCAAAGGCGAATTAACACAGCTACTTCTACTACCGCTTCTGCTGCTGCTGCTCGTGCTGCTGGGCTGCTGCTGCTGCTGCTGCTGCCAACGGCTGCGCAGGATCCCAGAAGAGTCCTCCTGCACTCGTTTTGGGGAGCTCTCTCTCTGTTTGGCGGTGTGAGCCTACCAACTTTCCAGCAGTACTTGGAAATCCCCCGTCGGCAGGTCCTTTGGCTTATGAGCGACGCTTCCAGCGCATGCTGTGAGCTTCTGGTTGGAGAGTGTCCTGAAGGCACTGAGAATTCCGTCACTTTCAAAAACCTAGCAGGCATCTATGGTCACGAGCTCCGCGGCCACGACCACTCCCCCCCTCCATGGTCTCTGGTCCAGGACGCCCCCAGCCCCTCCCTGCGGAGTGAGGGATGGGGTCCCTCTTCCCCCCTGTGGGGTGGGTGGTTTTAGGGTTTTGGGTTTAGCTTAATGGTTGAATTTGAGTTTAGGGTTTGGGGTTAAAGGGGCTTCGAGTCGACAAGGGCTTGGGTACGGTTTGGGGTGTATAGGTTCGTTAGGGTTGACGGTTTATGTTCTGCTCTAGGCTTAGAGCCTGCATTCAGGCGGGGCTTAGGATTGGGTGTAAGGTCTAAGGTACAGGTTCAGGTTAGTAAAATCTACAGGAGAGCTTGGCTACTACGTCATAGGGTTTTCGGCTTGCGTAGGGCTTGTGTGCGATCCTGGACATCTCTGTGACCCCTGGCCGCCTCTCCAGCTGCGGCTTTGACAGCCCCGACCCCTCTCCGCACATGCCAGCCCCCTGTACGAGAACAGAGGGGGAGCGGGGCGGGAACGCTAGACGCCTGACCATACATGCCATACTCCTGGAATGACAGGCGCGCGTTCGCAGCCAGGAGTCTTAACAAAAATTCCCACCTCCTTCGAGGTTGGTGTCGCAGCTGTGGATGCCGCGGTGGCCGATGGACATAGCTGGGTGAGCAGGACTTCCACGGCAGTCTGGCAACCAAGTCGCAGGTGAGATGGGATTCAAGTACGAATGCCACTTCAATAGCAGCTCAGGTACTGCCTATAGAAGATGGAACCATGCGCAATCATAGCACAAGGGTGTTTCCTACCAACACTACGATTGGAGACGGATACATAGGCAGATCGATATCTCGGCTGAATAACACGTTGAAGAGCTAGGTAGGAAGGTTGGGAGGGACATCGGCTGCAGGTTGTAGAGGAAAGCCTTCCGTGCCACAAACTCACCCCCAAGTGGGCCGCCTTAGTCTTCTCCAAGGCTTCTGCGTGGCCAACTGCCAGGCGGATCCAAGTCCCCGGCAGCCCCTCCCGTGCGAGGATGCAACTGTCTCAGCTGTGCCAAGAGCCGTGTGTACGGTGCCTGAGCTGCGCGTGGCCAATCGCAAGCATCTGCTGGTGCAGGCAGCGGCCAAGGATCGACCTTGGCTCAGCGAGACTACTAGCACGCAAGTAACAGGTACAGGTGACACGTAAAGGATCGAGAGAGGGGCTGTCAGTCAAGCGGCACGGGAGGAGGCGGCACCGAAGGAAGTCTTGCATTCCGGACCACGACAGCCCGGACCGCCACTGTGGGTCAGCACACTCATGACGGTCTTCTTGCTTGCACTGACATGAAACCAGATGCAGCCAGGACCTCAGGCTGGGAAGCCGGTGGAAAAGCAAAGTGGTGTACCCTACCTTGCTCTGCATCTCACCGGTCTGCAGGGCTCGCGCACCTCCACGAGTCAAGTAGAGCCGGGCGAGCGCGTACGTCGGGTGCGACGAGAGCATTGGATACATGACCCGGTTGACAGCTGGATGAGCTTCCAGGTACGCAGCAAGAGCTTCTGCCGTGGCTGATGTGGCCGTCATCCTCGTGCTCATCGTCCGCAAGCCTCCAAGCAGGTACCAGTACAACCCGCTGCGAGACGAACAAACACAACAGCTTGCAAAGTCCTCACAAGCAACCCCATCCGGGCCTTGCGAAAAGATCTCACAATGGTCAGCACCTATGAATACGCCAAAGGCTTTGATCCAGGAGAGAACCGGAGCCATCAAGGAGCTTGCGCCGGCCACGAAGCCGCCAATGCATCGGCCAGCTGATACGTACCTGCTTGGCAGCGGTTCGGTCTTTCCTCCGTTCTCCTTTCCCCTGCACTTGAGAAACCCAGCCCAGCGGCTTCGTCATACTCTCCAGAACGATGTCGGCACCGTGCTCGAAGGGGTTGAAAAGAGCACCAGAAAGCCACGTGTTGTCCTTAAAGACACGAAGAGCAATGCCAGTCATGTAGTCGAAAAGCCCTACCTCGGCACCTGCAAATCCAAAAAGACATTTAAAAGCGACAAAAAACAAACAAACAGCACAGCTTGGACGAGCATCACATGCGAAGATACAGTGGGGTGCCAAATGTCGCAGCCTTACCGGTCCGTTTCGTTGGGGTAGCTTACACCTTCTTCCAAGCAGGGGGGACCTTGGGAGGGACCTGGAGGCCCGATGAGCCCCGACCGGAGCCCCTTCCGTCACACGTCCAATGCGGTCCACGCTTGCGCGCTTCGGGGGTTCGTGGCTACATCTTTTCTTCAGGGAGCTGCTCCCAGCACCAAGTTGCTCTTTCAGGAAGGCAAAGTCCATAAGCTGCCCGCTGGGGTTGGTACATGCCTGGGGGCAGTAGACAGCTTGTGTTCGGGACCTATCTTCTCGACCTTCTGCAAGTCCAAGCCGTCCCTTCCAAGCCTCGAAGTGAAAGAGTCGAATGGCAGCACCCTTTTCAGCAAACAAGCTTCGGATCCTGGCCAACATCCCCAATCCCAATGCTCTTACGCCTATCTCACGCGTTCTACGTTTCCAGTGCTGCAAGAAACCACACAAATTGCAGGATCTCTGTTAAGGTCTCAAAACCTGTCTCAATCATGCAACCAACTGTCCCGCTTCAGGGCACGCCTTTACATGCAAGCCGGTCCCTGTAAACACAAATATGAAAAAGCAAGGTTAAAGACGAATGCACATGCAATCGAACAAGCACCACTCCCTGATTGCTTGTGTTGGCCCCATATTGAAAGGTAGATATTCCGTTTAGAGACAATTAATTTCGCAAAATTAACTTATTGTATTGAAAAGTAGATATTTCATTTAGAAAGAGTTGACCTAATATTGAAAAGTAATAGGTCAGGCCAGAGTTCTGGGACGTTCGCCCAAAGAAACAAGCAGCAAGGCTGCTAGACTCGCCTTATTTGATTGCTTGGCGTATTGAGGGTGAAGGCAAGTACCCGCCACCTAACCCACCCGTTTTTTGCGTTAGTTTCCCCCCCCCCCCCTCCTGCCCTCCCTCTTCCCCCCCCCCCCCTCCCCTCCCACTTCTGCATCCGCACTGCTCTTTCACATTACAGAAGCAAGTCGATGAGTTCTGTCACGGTGCTGGTCTCTGGCAAGCCGAGAGGCGGGCGGCATAGCGTTAAAATCAACAGAGGCTTTTTGGCAGCGAGTGTCAACTTGAGGGGCCTACCGTCTCCTTCTAGGTTCTTTTACGGAGTTTGTGAGTGCCCGAAACCCTGAACCGCCTCGAGTGGTCCCGGATGTCAACCGCGCAGGTGGACATCTTTTTGCTCTGAGCCTCAGCGACGTACCGCACTGTCCGGGCGACCTCAAAGGGGCTGCAATTGGAGGTCACATTTGACCTAGCATCCGCCTCTTAGCATCCGACTCGTAAGAGTCCTGTAATTACTAATATTCGCTCTTTTGGAGCTGGTCTCTTCGCGCCGTATTGCTTTCCCCTCACAATGGCGCGATATGTTTCTAGTCGTAGTTGAGTCGTCGTCGTCTTCGCTGTAGCAGTAGCGCAGTAGCGCAGTGGCAGTGGCAGTAGGAGCAGGAGCAGGAGCAGGAGTAGTGGGAACAGGAGATGGGTTGTAGTCATAGTAGCAGTAGTAGTAGCAGTAGCAGTAGTAGTAGTAGTAGTAGTAGCAGCAGCAGTACTAGCAGTAGTAGTTGTAGATGGTATTGTAAAAAAAGTCCGATACCGGGGCAAGATCGTGCAGACCAACTTGCTCATCTTGGTCGGCCAAGTTTGTCGGGCGGGGGGGGGGAGATTGCATGCAAGCTTGGGGCGGGGCAAGTTTTCACAGCAGTCTTGCTCGATCTTGTGGGGTAAACTTCGACGCGCGGAAAATGTAAACTTGCGAATCTTGCTGCCAATCTTGCCCCGCTTGCCCCTCTTGCACCACTTGCCCCGCTTGCCCTGCTTGCCGGAGCTCTCCCTCGTCCAGTTCGTGAGATGGGCAGCACAATCCACGTCCTAGAAGATGTTCAAAGCCACATTGCCCAGGTAGTGATGCCTGTCATCTTTCGTTGCGGTGGTTGCGACGAAAACTTAACTTTCGATGCGGAAGCAAAACCTGTAAGAGGAAGCGACACTCAAGTGATGAACTAAATACCACTGCGCGTAACAGATGCGAAAGAATGACAATCAAAAAAAGGAACTCGCGCATTTCCGACCAGGCACGTACGTGTTACAAGCCTCGTCCGAAACCAGCTCCGCGCGATGGTGCTCTTTCCAACAGGCCCGAATGCCTCTCCAAGTCGCATCCCCCAGCAGGACACAACCTTGCCGGAGGAGACTCGATACATCCTTATGCCCGAGAAGCGTCCTGGACACGGAATGTTTCATAGAGCTTCTGCGCATGCTCGACTCGCCTGCAGAATAACACTGCACCACACAAGCCCTTGTGTGTTGTTCGTCTGGCACAAGCTGAAGACGAACTGCGGGATTTTTCATCCAGCCGATGTTGCCGAGAAAAGGACCCGTGAGAGTCTCCGGGTCCCAACCCTCTTTGCCGGCGACGGCTCGCAGCGCAATCTCAAAGGGGCAGGGAAGCAGCAACCGTGTAGAAAAACAATCTGACGCAGCGATTTCGCGATGAGATCGTGTGTCGTTCAGGCACGTCTGCAAGAAAGACGTTGTACTTTCGCAGACTTGTGCATTGTTGCTGTGACCCCCGAACACATCTTTGTAGTTTGCAAATCGGCCGGTTCAAGGAACGCGGCTATATAGATCCATGCCAGAGTCTCGGTCTCTAGCAGAAACAAAAACCTCAAGGGCAACTGCAGATGACCAGAATACCCAAAAATTGTTGCCTTGACATGTGCAAAAGCAAGGATCCAGGATATCAGGCGGGCACCGGATCTTGCGGTGCATGTGAGGCACTGTTGGCCATGGATGCTTGCCACAAAACAACGCCATGGAGAGCTCGAGTCTGTTGAAGAAGTCAGACCCGGAACTTGGGCGAAAGAGAACATAGACAGGCCAAGATCATCCGAGCAGTCATACGCAGACAAGACTCCGGAGACGCATTCGGCAAGGTGCTTCTTTCCCAGGCTTCCAGCTCTGGCCATCTCTGGTCCAGAATACAGGATCCCTAACCGAAGGCAGCACAACCAAAACCCCGCCGTGGAACGGCAAGTGTTTGTACTCCTGCCACCGCATCGAAAGCGATCGCAAAAGGCCTCGCCGCAACGAAAGAATTCCCGAAAGAATCCCTAAGCCCGCCTTCCGTCGCAGCATGCCTCCCCTCCGCCCATGGCGTGGCCACATTGTTGCGATGTGGGCCGTTCCGAGCATGCGCGCCTGTCAGCCGAGCACATGCACTCGAAACAACCCCCGCCCTCTCCATCCCTCAAGCAACGTCTGCTCAGAATCGAGCTGCTTCTCCAGGCCCATGGCCGAGAAGCAGCGCAACAAAACACAAACAGAATAAAAGAACAAGAGGGCGACGGGCAGGAGGGCAGAGTGAGAGGCGGGGTTCTGGGGTGGGAAGGGAGGGAGGGGGGGGGTTGTAAACTTGCAATCTTGTATATTTACGTGTTGCAGGCAAAAGTAGGCAGGGTGCAAGAAGCGAACCTACAGATCAATAAAGGCAAGTGGGGCAAGTGAGGCAAGTGGGGCAAGTAGGGCAAGCGGGGCAATATTGCAAGAATGCAACATTTCTCTCGACCCCACACGTCGTAGCGCCACCAAGATTGCAAGATTTCAAGTTGAGCAACCTTGCGCAAAGTTTGCCCCCCCCCCCCCCGAAGGGGCAGCAAGATTGCAAGATCATCAAATTCACGTGCATTCTTGCGCCCACCACGAAGATGAGCAACATTTCAAGTTTTAGCAAAATGAGCAAAATCCTGATCCCAAACAGCGCGCCTCGTTTCCCAACACAATGTAGATGTAGTAGTAGCTCGCCGTAGTAGCAGCGGTAGTGGTGGTGGTAGTGGGAAGGGGGAGTAGGAGTGGGAGCAGGAGTGGATGTTGTAATTGTAGTATACTAGTACAACAACTACTCCTACTCCTGTTCCTCCTCCTCCTCCTACTACCACTACTACTATTACTTATACCTCTACGCCCACTTTGATTTCTACTGCTACTACTGTACTACTACTACTACGACGACGACGACGAGTAGTAGTAGTAGTAGTAGTCGTCGTCGTAGTCGTCGTAGTCGTAGTCGTCGTAGTCGTAGTAGTAGTAGTGATAGTAGTAGTAGTAGTAGTAGTAGTAGTAGTAGTAGTAGTAGTAGTAGTAGTAGTAGTAGTAGTAGTAGTGGTAGTGGTAGTGGTAGTGGTAGTGGTAGTAGTAGTGGTAGTAGTAGTAGTAGGAGTAGTAGGAGTAGTAGGAGTAGTACTACTACTACTACGACGACTACTACTACTACTACTACTACTACTACTATCGCTACTATCACTACTATACGTTACTTCGTCTTGCAACCCACACAAGCCTCAAACCTTGGCTTTTGGATGCTTTGGGTGGTACCGCGGCATTGCGTGACAGCAGCTTTGGGACCTGTACGCATGCAGAATGATAGCATATTCCTATCCAATAAATCTTGTGTGTCGTAACTCTGTTACGTAAAGCCTTTCTGAGATTAGTGCTTTCCTTTCCTTTCCCGGACCCATCGCGAATCTTTCGCGGACACGTTGCTTTACATCTTAATACCGTCTTGCATATGTAAATCTGAGGCCCTGTCGTCGTTGTACTAGAGTAGAACTAGTAGAATATTACAGGTTCCTATGATGAACATGAAATCATCTTCAAGGTATCTGAAATAGTCATAGCGTCATACTGGGCTCCTAAATTATTGCATCATAGTAGCACGATTCCGATAGCACAAGCACAATACTAGGGTTTGCAGGGCTCACATAGTCCCATAGAATCATAGAGTACTATACCCCGGAGCCCTCTTCCAATGAATCTTTATCAGATCGAAGTGTTTTGAAGCTCCGAGGCCATGAACATCATCGAACCGTTAGCCATTCACTACGGCAGCTTGAAGTATTCTTCCGAATCGTTCGCAAGATGAAGTGCCCCCTCGTGACATAGCTCGTAGCGTAGCACTCGGCATCTTTGCACCATGCAGCAAGCCCTCGGTTATCGGAACCGAAGCCTTGCTTTCACCCTCTACTTCGGTAGTGTGGCCCCGACGAAGCACCGGCAAACTCCGATTTTTGGTCGCCCTACTTGCATCAGGAATGACGTGCACAGTAGACTCACGTAGCAGGCAAACTCAAGCATGCGTTCAAGCCCTGAAACCTTTCACTCTCCGCTTGCCTGCCTCGCAGTACAGCTCGTCCCCATGGACCAGGGTCCAGGTTTCGCCAGCCAGGCCAGCAGCAACCTCAGAGATAGCGACCAGCATGATGCAGCCGAGCAGTCTCCACCGGATCTGTGCGAGGCTTCTGCTGGTCAAACACGACCTCCGCCTCCCGGTGAATTTACTGCAGCATGCAGAATCATGCCTGCCAGTCCTGAAACCAAGCTGCAGAGGAAATCAACGCCCCAATGGCACCCATGCCAGAAGGGAGAATGAGAGCGTGATTTGTCCTGCCTTGGGCTCAAGATGGTTTGAACCCATGAAGCTTCATAAGTTAAACATCTTGTTGTCGCTGCGCGATACGAGAGCCCATAAGACTCTAGCAGTATAAGCCTAAGCTTTGTTGCAGCAGGGCGCTGTCCAAACCATAGAGCTGCATCACGGCAGTCTCCAAGTCCTTCTAAGAATTCGGATTTCGCATGTCATGAGGGTGATGATGGAAGGCCATGCAAGTGCTGACAAGACAAAGATTGACACGGATTTCAGTCAATGCCCATTGCGTTCAAGAATCGCTCTTTAAGTCTTTGCATGCTGAGCTTCGTTTAGGCTTACGCTTTTCGTTGTGAGCATCTCTAGTCTCTCGGCCACTGGTCCTCCCTGCTTCTGTTCCAGGTCCGGCTGTACAGCGGGCCGCGCTGAGCACGAGCTCGCGGCTGGCTGAAAACCAGCTTCTCTTCGTCCTGCCGCGACATTTTCGGGGACAGACATGGATAAGCTCGCAGGCCCAGGCCTCGGGCTTTGGCAGCTCACCATAGCCGGCACCGGCCATGGCGGCTACCAGTAGCCCTCTGATCCTCTCTGCGCTTTGACCCGAGCACAGCTGCAGAAGGATATGTTGCGGTGGATGACGTGGCGTTCCCTGGAAAGGCACAGTGGCTACGAGCAGGGGCATGCATACTGTGCAGGACACTGAGAGAGCTGCGCCTCCGGTCCAGGAGGTCCCGACTATGAAGTCCTTGTCCTGTCTCTGCACGAGGACTCAAAAGTTCCCAGCAGCTGGTCCAGATGCCCTGTCCTAAACTTTGGACTTCTGGTGCCGGAAAGAAGTATCGTGGTAGATGGTATCCCGGTATCCCCAAACTTTCGTTCTGAGACGAGTGTGGCAGCCTGAAACCGCTCGTTCCAGGTAGCATCGGCGCCGCCGATGGTCCAAAACAGTGCCTGTGAGGTCGTGGAAGCTTCGTGCTCAGATTGGCAGGCGAAGTTGTCAAATGTCATTAGTTTTCCGTTGACTTTCAGCACATGTGCTCATGCACAACGCAAAACGAATCCCTGCAGCTGCAAAGCGAGCTGAGGGCCAAGCACCTAGGGTCCACGGCATGCCAAGCCCCAGGAATACATTTACGGAGTTGCTTCCTGCAGTGTGGCGTTGCGATGTTACGTAACATCAACCACAGAGTCGTTCAACACAGGAAAACTGACATCTCAACTCTGCATGAGCGCGCGGGGATGGAAACAACTCAGATTTGCACTGCGGCCCCTGTGTTTCTCAGAAGTATTGGGGAACTTTGGGGTCGGGGAGCGCTTCCAGAGCAGAATCAGGCCCGCTGAACGCGTGGAATTTTCAAAATGCAATGCTAGATTTGCTAAACAGGCCCTCCCCCCCGCCAAACTTGCGCCGATGCACATTGCCGGTCGGCGGCAACATCGGTAACCAGAAAGACTGAATCGGCAACCAGAACCGGTGAATCAGAAACCAGCCATGATTCGGAAACTAGAGCAGCTCATTCGGAAACCACACCATGATTCGGAAACCAGAACGGCTGATTCGGAAACCACAACGGCTGATTCAGAAACCAGACACGTCATTCAGAAACCGGAAGCCGTGATTCGGGAACGGTTGCCAGGAACATTGTGGGCCCAAGGGCCAAGCAGGGCTAAAATCTCAACGCTTCATTAGATTGTACGAGCTTTAAGTAAATGTAAAGTTAGTCGATTGTAGTTCGGACTTACGAGATGAGGCTGCGCTCATTGCCAAAAGGCCAAAAGGAGCAAGCCGCCAACAGCAGGACGTACCCCTCTGCCACGGATGCTTTCTGGCCAGAACGCAGGCGCGTTATCATGGTTGGGCCATGGATACTCTGTGCTCCCAACGCAGATGCCCTGGGCTCATAACATTGGACCATTGACCTTATCATGGTAGCGCCCTGGATGCTTTGTGCTCAGAATGCATTAGACCCTGGACTTTATCACACACACCCCCCCGCACTCGAATGCATCAGATCATGGACGTTATCATGGTTGGCCATGGATGCTCTCTTCTCACCACCCAACCTTGCTTCCAAGCTCCAACGCCAGGCTCCAACGATCGCACATTTCTCGTTGCGATTTGTGAACTGCCCCGGAGGTCCAGTGACGTTGCCCACCGAAGCATCTGCCGTAGGATCCTGCACGAACAGCTGTCATTCGGACATGGGACTCTGCCAGCACCAGCAGAACACTGGCAGTGCTTCAGTCTAGATACATGCTACAATGTAATATGTGGTTACGACTCCCCCCTGCCAACAAGAGCCTGCACGGCCGCTTGTCGACTCGCGAACGTGTCGGGTAAGGATGTGCCGAGCGCCACCTGGAAGACGGTGATGCATGGGTCAAGCGTTGTGCAGCTTGACACAAGGCTCGGGCTCCGTCTGAGGCTGCAGGCGAGTTGGAAGGCAACTCTGAAGAACAAAAACACGCACGCATGGCTTTCCAGCAAACTGCGAGCACAGCCCATGGAAATGCCTCTCCACTCCCTCAAAAATCGCATCTCAGTTGGCTCCCTCCTGGGGAGCGGTTCGCTGAACTGTACCAGACATCAGTCCGAGAAGCTAAAGTGATGGCAGTGATGGCACTGCCGATGTCGAGGACGCACCTTCCAGGCCGGCTGAGGAAGCAGGCAGGGAGGGAGGCAGGGGAGGGAGGGAGGGAGGGAGAGAGAGAGAGAGAGAGAGAGAGAGAGAGAGAGCGAGAGCGACAGAATGGAGCGGAAGCGGGAGACAGGGACAGGGGCAAAGCAGAGAGGCAGAGAGGCAGAGAGGCAGAGAGGTAGAGAGGCAGAGAGACAGAGACAAAGAGACAGAGAGACAGAGACAAATAAGAGACAGAGAGAGAGAGAGAGAGAGACAGAGAGAGAAAAAAAAAAACACAGGCAGAGACAGAGAACAGAGCAACGGCGGCGGCGGAGGAGAGGGGGTGCTCACAGTCTGAGCATCCACACCCCAGGAGCGCGGCCAGGTCTCCAACTACGGCTGTCAGCAGTCCTTGGGGAGGCTGGCACTGGCGGAGAGAGCCAGAGAGACACGCACGCGCACACAAAGGTCCCTTCGGGCTGGACCTAGGGATCCGATCAGGCCCTCAGCCTCAGGGCAGCACCGATGCCACCAAGGGAGCAGAAGAAGCACAGCCAACCATCGCAGAATCCAGGTGGTGGAATCACCCTCAGCGTCACACGGCTTCACTTGATCTCGCATGGCATACAGCCAGTCCATGCCGGATTTGGTGTCAAAACACTACGAACACTGAGACCGCAGCGAAAAGAAAATCTTCCAGGGAACCCCCAGCACCTGCAGCTGTGGGCCCTACACAGGATGTAAAAATCGAACCGCGACGTGAATGCAGTGCAGCATGAAACTGGGCTGTCGGGTTCCCCACCGCAGTCATCGCCATGTTGATATACTGCATGCACCCTCTCCTGGCTCAAGCCAATAAGACAAGGGCAAGTTGGGGCAAGAGCCTCGGGAGCCTGCCACAGCCCCTCAAGGCATTCTCGGGCAAGATCCCTCCGGTGCTGCTACCGACTTCAAACGAACCGAAGTTGATCAGCAGACTCCTCTTCTCTGCAGGGCCGCTCTGCTCCTGGCCATCCTCCTCCTCCTCCTCCTCGTCGTCCTGACCAACCCAACACAAGCGAGAAGCGCCGAAGGGACGGTTCGTCTTGCTGGCACGTCTGCGTCGATGGATCTAGCAGCTGAAAGTTTCGATCTTTCCACACACAAGGATGACTTTCCATTAACTATACTTGACAAACCTTTTGTCTACACTGTAGGTGCAAGCCTGAAGCGACTGAACCCCGCGGCGGGCCGTAAGTTTGACGGCGTCCATGATCTGCTCCTTCCAGGCTGTCCAGTTGGACCTGACACAACGGGAGCTGCGCGCGTCTCGGCATGGGGCCTCGACTTGCTCGTGTTGACGCTGAGAGCTGGACTTGGCCGTGTGGGCCTTGGTCCAGTTCACTGCCAAAGCGCTGTGAATTCGCAGGATCCTCTCCTGGCCGGCAAGTTGGCACTCTCGCATGCAGAAAGCCACTGCAGAGGGACTGCACGTTGAGACATCGTCGCCCACTACTCCAAACAGGGGGGGTAACTGTCCGGCGCCGCTTCGAGAGCGAATCGCCGCATTGCTTTTCTACTCGTGGGCAGAAAGCGCAGCTCGAAACTTGGTGCGATTCGAGGATGCGTCTCTCGGCCGCGACCGAAAGCCCTAGCCGATTTTCCGGATCAAAGCTCGGATCTCACTCCGTGATTAAAGCAGTCCGACAGGAAACTCGAGAACGGGTGTCCCGAAAAGCACTTAGAGCAGTGACCTCATCCATCCATCCATCCATCCATCCATCCAAAAACGGATCCAAAACAGAGATGCACTTCAACCTCGCGACAACGCAAGAGACGACCTGGCATGGATCCATTAACATCCTTCTAAAGCCTTCTGTAACCATCCGTTTAGAAGCCCCTCCAACCTCACAAAAACCAAAGGGCCGACCAACCTCACGAAAAGCAATGCCCTGCAACCTCACGCCATACTACCTCACGACAACCTAAGAAATGTTGCTTTCTCCACACGTGCTAGCGGGATTCAGAATCACGGCAGAAATGCTTCCGCAAAATACTGGCGCGAATCAGAAACCCGAACAAACTGACTGTTTCCCTTAGGAACTTTCGGAATTTCATGCATTTCGAAACTGAAATCAGAATCACCATACGTGCCCGGACGAATCACATCCCACGAGACGGAACAGCTGGCCTGTGTCTGTTGAATTTACTAATGACGCTCGACGCACAAACCGCAGCCACAGTGAGGGCTGGCAATTTAGAACGCAAATTTTCGCGGCCCCGCACGCAGAGTGCGATTTGGCACGATCAAAGTGCTTCCTCCCAAGTACTGGAGGGATGGGTTCAGAGAAATGACCATGCGAAATCGTCATAGCACCGCAACTGACATGCTTGCCGGATGATAGGACTCACGAGCACGAACATGTCTCCCCCATGCACCGCGGACCGCACGCACAGCTTCAGGACACATCCACCCAGAGGGCTATCAATTCGAGACCACCTTGAGGCGAGTGTATTGGAATTTGCAATGGATCCCGGCAACCTGTGGATGCGGTGCGCGAGGATTGTCAATTCGGTACACGAAACGTCACGGCACAAGGCGTGCCGTGCCATCGGACGATCGGACATGCCTGACATCACCCGAGAAGGTTGTCAAATCGAGACCAAGGGGAGGCCACTGTATCGAAAATTTAAAACGATCGCTCCGACCGGAGGATGCAGACACATCGCGTTTTCCGATGCGGCTGTCAATTCCCCACAAATCATCGCAGCGCCACAGGGCTGTTTTGAGGCTGTTCTTCTGCTTCGGCTTCGTGGTGCGCGATTCCATGGCTCTTGATTCTCCAGAAGCAAACGATGCCAAGAGAGCGCAAAGTCCCGTAAAGCTCATAAATCCAGAAGCACTCGAAAAGTCGAAAAGTCACCGAAAAGGCAACATGTCGAAGGTACCGAAAAGTTT